GGGATGGGGCAGAGTAACCTTGGGAAGATAGTCCAGTTAACCTTGGGAAAGTAGGGAGTTAGGGGGTGGGGTGTGGGAGTTGGGGCTGAGAGGGAGGGTGGTGGAGTTTACAAATGCCATACTTCCAGGTGGGGTCCTAGCTAGCTAGATAGGTGTTAGAAACAAGCTGGACGTCTTCTGTACTTCTCAATCCCAATGGGAGAAAAGAAAATGTTCAAGGCCACTGATTAAGGAGTCAGTTATGAAATAACATGGGGACAGAAGCCTGGTGTCAAGTAAGGACCTCTTCCTTAGATGGCTTGTTCATTTGTTCATTTATTCAAAACCATGACTTGCCCCTTGGAGGCCAAGATGGCCAAAGTTTGTCTCTCATACTTTGGACATATTGTCAAGAAGGAACAGTTGCTGAAGAAGGATATCATGTTTGGTAAGGTGGAGGGTCAGAGAAAAAGAGGGAGACCCCCAGCGAGATGGATTGGCAAAGTGGCAGCATTGATGGACTCAAGAGTGGCAACAGTAGTGATGTTGGCCAAGGACCAGGCAGTGTTTTGTTCTGTTGTACACAGGGTCGCTATGAGTACTGACTTGGTGGCACCTAACAACAACAACAACAACAATAATACTATACTGTTTTGTCAATTGCTCATAATATTCACATTTTCAAAATAAAAATTTGGGGAACTATGAATTAAGAAATCTGTCAGGAGAGACAAAGGAAAATAAGATAGCCCTAACACTTTTATCTACTGCCTTTGAACAATCACACTGGAAACTGCTGCAAATCCTTGGTAATGAGGAAAATGGATAGAAAGACAGAAATAGAGATATCTATCTATGTGTCAGACTACAAAGTCATTTGAACTGCAAGGTCGGTGACTCAAGCTCACCAGATGCTCCTTGGAAACCCTATACAGGGTGGCTATGGGTCAGAACCAACTCAATGGCACTTAACAACAACAACAACTTCTATATAATCTAAGGAGCTCTGGTAGTGTAGTGGTTATGAATCAGGATGCTAATCTCAAGGTCAACAGTTCAAAACTACCAGTTGTTCCACAGGAGAAAGATGAGGCTTTCTGCTCCCATAAAGATTTACAGCCTTGGAAACCCTATGCAGGGTCACTATGAGTCAGAACTGACTCCATGGCACACCACCACCACCATCGGTATAATCTTTGTGTGGAGTCCTGGTGCAGCACTGTGGTATAAAGCACTGGATTGCAAGGTTGGTTTGAACTGCAAGGTCGATGATTCAAATCCACCAGACGCTCCTCAGAAACCCTATACAGGATTGTTATGAGTGGGAATCACCTAGGTGGCACACAGCCACCACCGCCATCATTTGTATCTAGAGAGACACACATAGATTGTTGTTGTTGTTACGTCATGTCTAGATACAGATGATGGTGGTGGTGTGGTGGTTGTATGCACCGAGGTAGTTCCAACTCATAGTGACCCTGTATTTCCCAAGCTGTAAATCCTTTCAGGAGCAGAAAACCTCATCTTTCTCCTGCAGAGCAACTGACAGATTTGAACTACTGACCTTGTAGTTAGCAGCCTGGTTTGTAATCTCCTATGGTATCAGGGCTCTTTAGATACAGATGTAGATAGATTTTAAAAATTTAAAAATCAACAACAACCAAACCCATTACTACTCAATTGATTCTGACTTATCACTACCCTATAGAACAGAGTGGCGCTGTAGGAAACCCCATACAGGGTCGCTGTGAGTTGGAACCAACTTGATGACACTTAACCACGACAACAACATAGGACAGACTCGAACTACCTGTAGGGTTTCCAAGGCTGTAATTGATTTATTTTTATTGTGAATTGAGTGATAATTTACATGGGAGACATTGGTTTTTATAGTCATTGTTTCATTGCAATGATTACAATCTCCTCTGTGCGTCATCATTCAACAGCATTTGCTTCTATTCCCTCTGTTTTGCTGGGGTTTTTTTGGGTGGGGGTGGGGGGACAAAGCTGTAACCTTTAAGGAAGCAGACTTTCTCCTGTGAAATGACTGTTGTTGTTGTTGTGAAGTGCGGTTGAGTCAGTTCCGACCCATAGCAATCCTGTATAGGGTTTCCGAGGAGCAGCTAGTGAGCTTGAACCCCCAACCTTGCAGTTCAAACTGCTTTTCAGTCTGGCACATTAACCCATAGCACCACCCCAGGACTCCTTGTGGAATGACTAGTGGGCTCCAAATGCTGACCACTACACCACCAGGGCTCCTTCATATATGTGGTGCTGTTAATTTCCGTCAAGTCAGTTCCAACTCATAGTGACACTGTATAGAGTTTCTGAGGCTGTAAATCTTTGTGGGAGCAGAAAGCCTCATCTTTCTCTTGCAGAATGACTGGTGGGCTCAAACTACAGACCTTGTTTGAGCCCACCAGCTGCTCCATGGGAGAAAGATGAGGCTTTTTGTTCCTACGAAGATTTAAAGCCTCAGAAACTCTATACAGTCTATATACATATTGCTGTTGTTAAGTGCCATCAAGTTGGTTCTGACTCACAGTGACCCTGTATAAGGTTGCAGAGGAGCAGTTGGTAAGTTTGAACCACCAACATTTTGGTTCAAATAACCCTGTGGTCCAGTGCTTATCCTATAGTGCCACATCAGGACTTCATATATACAGCCCAATAGTGCAGAGTTGACAGTTAATCTCTGTGTGCTAACCACAAGGTTGGCAGTTCAAGCCCACTAGCAACTCCGTAGAAGAAAAATGAGGCTTTCTGCTCCCTCATAAGATTTAAAGCCTCAGAAACCCTATACAGGGTCGTTATGAGTCAAAACCAACTCCACAGCACTTACAACAACAACACATGTTGCTTTCAGTGCCATGGAGTTGGTTCTGGCTCATAGTAACCTTGCATAGGGTTTCTGAAGCTGTAATGCTTTACGGGAGCAAAATACTTTATCTTTGGCCCATGGTGGACTTGAACTGCCGACCTTGTGGTTAGCACAAGGTCTCTATCAACTATCAACTCTGGGCTATTGTTGAACCATGTCACCGGGCCATTGGGAATCAGCTTGGACTGCCCTACCCTTCGTCTACCATTGGCCCTATTCCGTCTATCACTTTTCTAAGATTGGGAATAGGATGGGGTTTCCTAGACCAAGGTTGGGATCCAGTGCTGAGGAGACTCCTAAGTATAGTGGTGGAAGGAAGCTCTCCACAGAGGCCAGACTCTGGAGCAGAGGTACTGATAGTGACCTGGCAGGGTATGTATGTGTATCACCTTACACATCTTTCTGAGCCACCTCTTCAAGCATCTCATACTTCACTGTAGAGTTCTACTTAAGACCCAAATTCCCCTTGCTGCTATTTAAAATAATTTCATGTCACTGTGGAGCTGGAACATGCCTGGACAGCCTGAACCTGTGTAGCAAGCTCGGAGTGGCTATGCGCTAAGACAAAATGGAAAAGTCGGATGCCTTGACCTTTGGCACCCAGCTAGTATTCTTTTTCTTGGTATTTTCTATCTCTTGATGCCACCACTCCCCACCCAGCATTTTCTTCTGCCTTTTGCAGAAGGGTTTTTGGGTGGCCTCAAATTACCCCTGGCTCCTGTCCATTCATTCTAGAAGACATGGAAGTGTTCCGCAAGTGTTCAAATCACCCAGTTGTGAATACCTAGTAGGCTAAGTTTTCAGGGCTCTGCTCTATAGAGAACAAATGGCAGTTCTCTCCTCAGGGTGGAATGAAGGCCAGGAACAAAGAGATTTCTGAATGTGTGTGAGCTTCTCCATCTGGTCCTTAACTACCAGACAAAACAGTATATTCCCTCCTCCAGGTCCCCATCAGTGATGTCACTCCACTGTGTAGGCCTTGGTCAGCTGCATCCTGCTCTGGAAAATCACTGGGCCTAGAATAGAAGAAGGGGTGTAACAAGGCTTCAGAAACTCAGTCCCCAGCTCCTTCCTCCTGCTGTCCAGTTCAGGAAAAACAGATTATCGGAGTGGTGGTGGTTATGTGCCATGGAGTCGGTTCCGACTCACAGCGACAGGGTTTCCGAGGCTGTAAATCTTTATGGGAGCAGAAAGATTCATCTTTCACCCGCGGAACAGCTGGTAGTTTTGAACTGTTGACCCTGAGGTTAGCAGCCTGATTTGTAATTTACTATGCTACCAGAGCTCCTTGATTATCAGAGTGGAAGGGCCAAACTTAGAGTTCAAAGCCTACCTTCCCAGTTTATGGAAAGAGAGACTGGGGTTAGAGAAAAGGTAATGACTTTTCTCAGAGGCTCCATTCCCTACCCATTCAAGCATTCCATGGCTTTCTTTAGGTTTTGCTCTAGGTCTTTCCTCCCTCCCTTCACCTCTTTCCCCCCCTTAGCTCTGGAAGCCAGTTCAGAGTCTGGGGCTCTGGCCAAAACCAACTCAGGATGACTTAGTCCCATCACTCCAAGAAGCTGTGAGGGATTGCCCCTGCCTTTCTAGCATCAGGGCTGTTGAGCTAATAATACAGGTCTGTAGGTGGGTCACTAAGACCAGAGCCTCCAGAGTACCAGTCCTGCCTGCTTTTCTTTGGTATCTCTTTACAACACAGACATGTGTTCTTTGATAGTCTATTTTACCTTCCTTTTGCTAATATCTGCCTTGTCTCTGGTTCGCACCAGTCTGTTGAATTGTAATCTTGCCCTTCCTGGTACCAGCTACTGTCACCTGGAGTCCAGTTCCTATAAGGATTTATGAATGAAGGCGCACAGACTCGGTGCCCAGAAAGAGATGACTGGATTCTTAATCTATAGCAATTTTCAGTCTAGAGTCTAGTTAGGAGGGACGCAGACATGGACTAGTAAGAGAGCCAGACAGGCCTGTTGGAAGGGGGACCATCACAGCTCTAGGATGCCCTTGGGCCCTCTTGTCTCCCATAAGAAACATTTCTGGGTTCTGGCTGGGATACCTTTCATGCCAGTGGAAGAGGAAAAACCTGAGCCCCAGCCCTTTCTCCAGCTATTCTCCTGACCCGCTGTTCTCTGACCCCCAGGGCCGTGGGCAGTCCGTTGGTCATGGACCCTACCAGCATCTGCCGGAAGGCTCGGCGACTGGCGGGGCGGCAGGCGGAACTGTGCCAGGCGGAGCCAGAAGTGGTGGTTCAGCTGGCCCGGGGAGCCCGGCTGGGGGTACGAGAGTGCCAGTTCCAGTTCCGCTTCCGCCGCTGGAACTGCTCCAGCCACAGCAAGGCTTTCGGGCGCATCCTGCAGCAGGGTCAGTGTGGGGAGGGAGGGGTTTCCAGGGGGCTACCTTCTCCCCGCTGGGGACAGGAGGACTGGAGCGATTTGGGGCATCCTGGCCCACCCAAGCCTTCACTCTCTCCTCTGACCCTGTCTCCTGGCCCCTTCCGACCCCACGCCATCCCGCCCCGTCCACCACAGGCCCCTACCGCCCAGCCCTGGTCCTGCCCGCTGACGTTCATCCCTGCACCCGCAGACATCCGGGAGACTGCCTTCGTGTTTGCTATTACGGCGGCTGGCGCCAGCCACGCGGTCACACAAGCCTGCTCCATGGGTGAGCTCTTGCAGTGTGGCTGCCAAGCGCCCCGTGGGCGCGTTCCACCTCGGCCCACCGGCCTGCTCGGCACCTCCGGGCCTCCGGTGTCCACAGGCGCCCCCGAAGGCAGCGCCGCCTGGGAGTGGGGAGGCTGCGGCGACGACGTGGACTTCGGGGATGAGAAGTCGAGACTTTTTATGGATGCGCAGCACAAGCGGGGACGCGGAGACATCCGTGCGCTTGTGCAACTGCACAACAACGAGGCTGGCCGGCTGGTGAGCTGAGCGCATGTGCAGGGAGACCCTTTGGGTGGGTGTGAGTGCGGGTGCAGAGGAGTGGACTTGCAGAAATGTGTCAAGAAGTGTGCGTATATGAGTGTGAGTGTGGATTTGGGAGTATGTTGATGAGTGTGGGAAGTAGGTTTATGTGAAGTCGACACCGGGAATAAATACGGTCTGGAGCAGCAGTGGGCATTAGGGAAGGGAGCCAGGTGGAAGGCGTCTGCAAGAGGAAGTTTGGGGAGAACTGGGCTGTGTTGCAGTGGGCACTATGGGGAGGGGCACAGGGCCATTAGGGATCCAGCATGGGGTGGACAGACCTCTGAGACAGGACAAGAGGGCAAGGCTTGGGGTAGGTAGGGTCTGGATACCATGCAGTGGCAAAGACTGGGAATGAGAGGAAGGCGGGAAGCAGGAGCAAAGGAGTGGGGTCTGGTCTGGCAGTAAGGAAGGGAGAAGTAAGGGGTGCTTAAAAGGGGCTGAATCAGGTTTGAGGGGGCAAAGGAGTTGGAAAGGAGTGGAAGACAAAGAGCAGACCAGGTGGAGCCAGGGAAGCTGTGATGAATCTGGTCCTTTGCCAACTGGCTTCCCAGTAGCCCTAGACCAGGCTTCACCAACCCAAACCTTCCCCTCACTGCAACTAGGAGGGTCCCAGGAACTCTTGTTTCTGGGTCAGATGGTTGCAGGTAAAGGGTCTGGGAGTGGAAGGGGCACACACACAAGTCGATTGGCCCTGGAGACAGCTTCCAGAGACCATCTCTTTAGTTCATCTAACCCCATAAATCTCAAATGGAGAGGTGCAGTTCTTAGACCCCCCAGCTTCAGACACAAATAAGACAGACAAGACAGGACTCCTGGGTTCTTTGTAATGGATCCTCTCTGCACACGGAGGCGTGCTTCAGATGCACGGTGCTCGAGAGACACCCCCTCCCCACACACACACACATATCATCTCATCTCCTGTCCTTTAGGTCTTGGACCTGAGGCACTAGGCAGGTGGGGAGGAGCCCCTCCTCCAGAGGAATGTAGGGACAGGCCCACATACTGTTGGAAAGGGTTGGGGAGGGGCGGTGGAGATAGACGCCCTGGCAGGAATGAGGGGCCCGGGTTGGGTGGGTGACAGCTGCCCCCTCCTCTGCCTTCCAGAGACAATCCCCTCCCCCGCTCCTCTGAGCGATGTGTTCTGCTTTTTTCTCCTGGAATATCTGCACTGTTCCGCACCTCCCTTTCCCTCCTCAGCGTTATCATTCTTTCTGCTTCTCTCGGGGCTGTAGCTCCCTTGATTTCCTATTCTCCACGTGCGCTTTTTCTCACTCCCATCCACTCTCTCCCCTCCTTATCTTCTGCCTGTCCTCTGGGCCTCTCGCTGCCTGGCACCTTCCCAACTGCCCACATCCGCTCACTCCTTTGCTCCCCATAGGCGGTGCGGAGCCACACGCGCACCGAATGCAAGTGCCACGGACTGTCCGGCTCCTGCGCGCTGCGCACCTGCTGGCAGAAGCTGCCCCCTTTCCGCGAAGTGGGCGCGCGGCTGCTGGAGCGCTTCCACGGCGCCTCTCGCGTCATGGGCACCAACGACGGCAAGGCCCTGCTGCCAGCCGTGCGCACCCTCAAGCCGCCTGGTAGCGCCGACCTTCTCTACGCTGCCGACTCGCCCGACTTCTGTGCTCCCAACCGGCGCACTGGCTCCCCAGGCACACGTGGCCGCGCCTGTAACAGCAGCGCCCCGGACCTCAGCGGCTGCGACCTGTTGTGCTGCGGCCGCGGGCACCGCCAGGAGAGCGTGCAGCTCGAGGAGAACTGCTTGTGCCGCTTCCACTGGTGCTGTGTGGTTCAGTGCCACCGCTGCCGCGTGCGCAAAGAGCTCAGCCTCTGCCTTTGACCTGTGGTCACGCTCTCCGAACTATGCGCGGAGACCACGTCTCAGCGCCTGAGAGACCTCCGGACTCCAGCAGGGGGCGCCATTCGCACCCTGCCTCCCTGTGCGATGATTCACCTTCCAGGCCTCAGGAGACTTTACACCCTGAGCTTGCGATGCACACACCCCCACGAAGGCTTGGGGCGCTGGAGATTCCTGGGGAAGACAATACAGACCCTTCTTTCCCTGATCCCCAGGTGTAAACCAAAGAGCCAACTCCTAGGCTTCTGGTGGGGCTCCTCAGAACTGCTGACATGAAATGGGTGGGTGAGGTTGGTTATCAATAAAGATATTTAAGCCAATACGACTGGGCCCAGAGTTTGGGAGGAGGGCTGCCTTTCCTGTGGGCTCTGGATGCAGTATGGGAAGGCAGGTGGCTTTGATAGCACTGGGTCGCGGGTTACTCATCTAACCAGGGTTCCCATCTTTCTCCCTCCACGGGTTTTCAGAACAGGTTTTCTTTCCTTTGGCACTCTTCTTCTTCACTCTTCTCACACTTCTAGGACATAGACCTGCCAGCTGAGGGAAGAAGGCGCAATCCTTTAAAGGACAGGGCAAGGGCATGGGGAAAGGTGATCAAAACCCTCTCTCTAGGTGGTCACCCTCATTTCTAGGGGATGTGACGCCTTACCTGCCATTCTATTTCCGTGTCCTCTACGGAATTCAAGGGCAAACCTCAAAAGAGAATAGACTTGATTTTCTAGAGAAGATTTTGATTTACAGAAAAAAGCCCATAGAAAGTACAGTGAGCCCCAATATACCTGCACCCAATTCCCGTATCATTAACGTCTTGCATTCGTCTGGTAGGTTGCACAAATAAGGAATCAGTATGGATTATTACCGATTATGGAGTACAGAGGAGCTCTGGTAGTGTAGTGGTTACGAATCAGGCTGCAAACCGCAAGGTCAGCAGTTCGAAACTACCAGCTGTTCCGCAGGAGAAAGATGAGGCTTTCAGCTCCTGTAAAGATTTACAGCCTCGGAAACCCTGTGCAGGGTCACTATGAGTCAGAACTGACTCCACGTCACATAACAACAACAACAACAACGTGGATTATTAATGGAAGTCTGTGGTTTACAATAGCGTTCGTTTTCTGTGTTGTGCAGTTCTATGGATTTGGAGAAGTGCATAAAATTATCAGTCATCACTACAGTATCATTCAGAATAATTTAACTGCTCTAAAAATTCTCTGTGCTCCACCTATACTTGTTACCTTCCTCTCCCTCAAACCTCTGGCAACAACTGATTTTTTAAAATATCTCTATAGTTGGTCAGGAGTCCTAGTGTGGTGCTGCAGATTGATGCGCTGAACTGCAAGGTCAGTTTGAACAGCTAGGTTGGCAGTTCAAGCTTACCAGGTGCTCCTTGGAAACCGTATACAGGATCTTAACAACAACATAAGTTGGTCGAGGGCAGATTTTAGGACCACCCAAGCCCAGAGGCTCTATAAACTGGAGAATGTGATTAAAATATGTTATTATTAACATCAGACTTTGTTACAGTTAAAGCTAACTTTGCCCTTGCTAATGAGACTGCCCAGAGAGCATTTCTAATCACTCCTGGGGAGCAATGTTTCTCTTAGCACTCCTCACCTTTCCTTCTCATTGGTTCCTCTCAGGAAGCTGATAGTAATTGTAAGGGCGAGGGGATAGATAGTCAATGTAGGGTTATGGGCTCTCCAGGACAGAACCTCATGTTTCCATCTTCCTCCAGAGATATGGAGAAGGGATTAATTAGCCCAGTGGGTGGGACTCAGAACTCCCAATTTCCTTCCCTACAATGGGGAGTAGGTATGTAGGGCAAAGCATGAGTTTTATTTAGATCTAGGCAAAGCTGAATGCAGGGGCTCAATTGATGTCACAGCTCTGTTTCTTCTCCCCCCAACCTCCTTCACCTATTGCTTTAGCTTATCTCTGCCTTTCTCTGCATACTGCCCTTATTCATTCTCTTCCTGCAGACTTTGCCCATTTGACAGCCCTATATCTCCATTCTTAAAAGCAGCAATCCCAGTTATCTTCAGCACAAGTTCCAAGGAAGACTCTGATTTGTCTAGCTTGGACCACTTGCTTATGCCTGAACCCATATGGTGTCCAGAAAGATGCTCAACCATGACTGGAATGGGATCCCCCTCCCTCCTCATCCCTGGAATGGGGCTGTAGGGAGAAATTTAAGTTCTCCAAAGGAAACAGAAGGAAGGGAACCTATCCTTCACGTGGCAGTTTCTATCACAGCACATCCACCTCTGTGACCTAGCTATGTCAGAACCCTAGAATGAGGCATGTGTATGTGTGTGGGGGGGGGGGCAAGGAAAGGACATCTGGGGTTCCCTTCTTGGCCAAGGGGAAGGGCTCACAGCCTCTCTTAACCCAAAATTGTTGTTGTTCTGACTCATAGCGACCCTGTATAGGGTTTCCAAGGAGCAGCTGGTGGATTTGAACCACTGTCTTTGTGATTAGCAGTCCAGGGCTTATCGCACAGCACCATACCATGAACTCTACCTTCCCCAGAGTCTCTGCCCACCACCGCTACCCGTTGCCCCATAGAGTTTGTAAGGCTGTAGCCTTTATGGAAGAAGACTGCCACCTCTTTCTCCTGCAGAGTAGCTGGTGGATTTCAACTGCCCACCTTTCAGTTAGTAGCTGAATACTTTAACCAGGACACCACTAGAGCTCTATGCTTGTTACACTGTTTTTCATTCTTGTTCCTGCATGTCTCTCATAGTCCACCAGAGGGTGCCCAGAGCCCATCTTGTTTATTAACAAGAAGCAGGCAAATTTACAGGCTATCTGGGGAACTCAGCATTGATTCCACAGGGCAGGTCTGAAGGGAAAAGGGAGGCCTACAGACAGACACCTTGGGTCAGGTCTCTAGGCTTCAGAACTTCTGGCATCCCTGGACTAGTCCGCCTCCCAGTCTCTAAGTGCCAAGTCCTGGGTGTGTGGCGGTTGGACACCCTCCTTTATGATGCCAGAGAGGAAAGTTGAAGCAGTGATAAGAGCCAACACTGCTTCAGAAGGTTAAAAGAAATACATAGGAGGTAACATAGCACAGTGAAAAGCTAGTTTGCTAGCTTGAACTTGGTTAAATCAATTCATCTTTCTGGGAGCCTAATGTACTAGAGTCTGTGGTCCATCTTCTCTGGCAGAGATCAGCAAGAGGAGACGGCCTTCTTTGAAGGTTAAGCAGGGAGAGTGCTGGCCCAGGAGGGTCTGGTCTTCTTTAAGCTCAGAGGTGGCAAGGCACTCCTGCAATGCTGCCAGGGAAGGGAGCTGGAGGAGGAGTTCCAGAAGTGTTTCCATCACCCCTCCACCCCCACCCCTTTGCTTACCCAGCTGCTCAGCCTCAGGGAGTCTGAGCCATCAAGGTCCCCCACTGACTGAGTGGTGGGGGACATGTGGGCCTGGGGAGATGGGTGAAGAGCACAGAGGTTCCCCAGATGTGTGTGTGACCACACCACGAACAGCCAGATGGGTAGAGAGGCCATGTTGGAGGACCCAGGATTAGTCGGAGAAGGCTGAGGACTTGGGAACCCTTTTCCCTTCCCTCAATGGCCACATATCAGGAGTCTGTGGGGAGACTGAAGCAGCGGACTATTCCCCTTACCTTGCTGAGGTGTGGTGGCCCCTAAAGTCTGGGCAATAGGATGATGACTAACCAAATCTGCCTGGGGCCCCTTCTTCCTCTTATCCACCAAGGCAAACTTTTCTAGGTAAATGTCAGGGTGGAACCTGGACTGAGCTGGGTCCCTGAGGATCCCACCTGTTCTCACCCTGGTGCCTTTCCCAGCCTACCCCTTCCTGTAGCCTCCTCCAGAGCCTCCACAGCTGGAACCATTCTCTGAACTGCCTTTCATCCCTGGTGCTCTCCCCCATCCCTAGTGGCCCCTGTAATTGTGGTCTCAGGCGGCGGCTGCGGGGGCTGGGGCTGGGCTAAGGGCCAGGACCCAGGGCAGAGCCAGGGCGGAGCCTGGAAGCAGCTGATATGGGCTTGGCCATGGCCTGGGTCATATGGGGTTGGGGGCCCCAGCTAAAGGCACGACATGACACGCTCTGAACCTGTCCCTATATATGCCCTCCCTCCTTGAGCTGAAAAGCCCTCCTAGGCATCAGATGAGAACCATGGCAGAATACAAGCCTTGGGAAGCTATTTACCTTCTAGAGTTTTCAAAGAAAGGCTCTTGCCCTTGCCTTGGCATCTGTAGTTTACCAACAGTGGAGGATAGGAGAGCAAAGAAACCCTTTTCATCAGTCCAAAGGAAAGATAGCAGCTGTTCAACCTGGTGAGCTTAACCAAAATCACACGGGTTTAGAAATGCAGACCTCCAGGTCTTGGTCCTGGAAAAGCTACTGTGGCATGGAACCTGCAAGCAGTATTTTCCACAATGGCTGACCCAGGATCAAGCACATGTCATGCTAGTACCAGACCTTCATCCTAGTTTATGAACCTGTTCCTGCCTCAATTTTCCCAGTAGTCACTGGGAACATGACTCTCCAGCTTTGTTTGTTCCTCCAGGTGCCTTCGCCTGCTTGAGTTCATGTTTTCTTTCTTTGTTGAGGGTCATCCTGTCCTGTCCCTCTCCATGCACTTCTAAGACTCCAGTCATAGGCAGTCTGGGTCCCAGCAGCATGGTGAAGAAGAGTGGGGTGGGGGCGGGGGGCAGCCGAGGTCAGACAAGGTTCTGGCTGACGCAGACTGCTCTCTTCCCCCAGCTGTTTTCCTGCTGTCCAGCCAGACTGCTCCCCTCCTCCTGCCCCCCAACACCCCCAGCAGCCTCAAGCCCTTAATTCCTGACAGCTGTGGAGGCTGCAGGCAGAGATGGGGGAAGGGAGGGGGAGAATTCTGTCAGCCTGCTCAGGCCACCCCACCACCTGACAGTCTGGAGCCCTCCCCTCCAATCCCTCAGGGATGGGCAATTCCAGGAATGGGCCCCTTTTGTCTCTGAGCCCAGAGGCTTGGGTGGCTC